AGTCTACTCAAGCCTAAAAGAGTCTAATTTGCCTGCAATGGAACAAAAAGAGGGGAAAAACCATGTTGAGCCAAAATGTTGCCCAAAAGTAGAGTGGCTTAATATGCGCTCTGAGGCTCTCTCTACTGTACAAAGAAAGAAAAAAACACTGTACAGCTGTAGATGATGTACACTGGGAAAAAAGCAGTCTTGTCTGCAGTGGCACTTAAATGCAGAGAAAGAAGAAAAAAGAGGCAGACTGAAATTAGAAACACAAAATATAAAAAACTTCTGCCAAAATGATCACTCGGAAAGAAATTATTAATTAAAACCTAGCAGAGACGAGCAAACGAATGTTGTCTTAATTAATTGGACCAACTGACTAAACGAGAGACCAAATGCAAACGGGTAATGACTACTTGACTACAGTAAATTGAAATGAGCACTACTACTGTTTGAACTAGATTAGGAGCATTTGTACAAAAACATTGTACAAACAAAAGAAAAGGAAAAAAAGGACTTACTTTGGCTCCGGATGTCCACGTGCCTTACAGCGCAGCGTCGCATTTTGGTTCTCGCGAACCATCACATCAGTGCTGGTTTCATTTTCAATAAAAGTGGGCGGCACTAGAATAGAATAAAAAATGAGATAAAATAAAAGGAAAAAAGAAAAAAATTGTTTAGATATTCTCTAAATATAAAAAAGTACAATTGTGAGCTCAGTGTGTGTGAGTGTGTGTGTCTAATTAGAGAGCAGTTTTGGGCAATTAGCTGTGGTGGTGGCGGCAAGGGCGTCAATGATGGGCAATCGATAGAAGCAGAAGGGTGCAAACAAAAAAAACCAGAAAAATTCAAACACACTGAACACTGAACTGCTGGAAACACTAAAACCAAAAGGCTCACAGAAAAAAACCCAACTAAATGCAAACTGTCGATTAATTTGCTAGATAGATACAAAAACAGCAGCAGCAGCAGCAGCAAAACAAAATAGAGCGGCAAACCGGACAACAGAATTTGCAAAAAAGAGAAAAGTGCGAGAGATAGTGTCAAGTCAGGCGTAATGCGTTTGTTGTACACACAACTCTGTGTGCGACTGACAAGGCCCCGCAAAAAAGCGCTTAAAACTGCTGCCCCATGCAAATGCACAGTGCAGTGCATCGTTTTTTCCTCTGCACACCAACTTCCGGAAAGTAACAGCAACAACAGAAGTAGATAACAGACAGGGGGACCTTAATTGGCCTACATTGAGCCTCCAAGCACAACTACAGTTGAGCTCGTCATTTGAACGGGCATTTTTAAATTAATTTGCTGACACGGCAGAAGCGACTGCACACTGCAGCAGCAGCAGTGTGCGTGCACCCGTTTTTTAGGTTAATTAATCATCGATGCAGCAAAATGAAGGGAAGGAAAAAACGAAACGAAAAAAGGGGAAAAGATGGGATGACGGAGAGAGTTCAAAAGTTAATAAACATCGAGCCTCGAATAATGAAGGATAAATTAAAAACGAAGTGAACGCCAGAAACAGGAAGAAGAGCACCGGACGGAAAAAAAAGAAAGGACACTGCTGCACGGAACTGTGAAAAAAGTAATAAATAATCAAAAATCGATTGCTCCAAATCAGCCTGCTAAAAAAATAGAAAAAATCGAGCTGGAAAAAGAACTAGACCAACTAGCCGGCACAGAAAGACTCACTCTTTCATTAGCTTTGCAGTGTTTGGTAATTAATAATGGCCATAAATTACCCCAAATTCATTCATTCAGCTTTAGTCGCTGAGACTGACTGACTAGGACGAGCTGCTCGTTGCTAACGTTATGCAGAAAGCTATGTCCTCTGCACGCTGCCGCTGTAAGATTACATTTTTTCATTTTATTACATTATTAATAATCGGCAGACGAGCTAACGTTAAAGAAAGAGAGATTGAGAAAATGAGTAAATGAATGAATGAAGCTAGCAAGTGTCCTCGCAATTGATTGTCGCTCTTTTTTACTTTTTCCCACACAAACTCGGGTTAGTTTGAAAAGTTTGAAAAGGGGNTCGTTGCTAACGTTATGCAGAAAGCTATGTCCTCTGCACGCTGCCGCTGTAAGATTACATTTTTTCATTTTATTACATTATTAATAATCGGCAGACGAGCTAACGTTAAAGAAAGAGAGATTGAGAAAATGAGTAAATGAATGAATGAAGCTAGCAAGTGTCCTCGCAATTGATTGTCGCTCTTTTTTACTTTTTCCCACACAAACTCGGGTTAGTTTGAAAAGTTTGAAAAGGGGGGTTGAAAGATTAAAAAGAAAGGGACTATGAGTTCATTGGGGATGATGATTTATTGAGGTCGAGGTGCTGCTGCTGTTGTTGAATAAACTGTCCGCCCACGACAGCTAAAAATAACTGTGAGAAAAGTAACTTGGAGAAAGTACATGAAGACGACAGGTGCATGCAAGTGTAGTGAAAGTGTACAGCTACTATAAATGCTATACTACTTCCAGAAAGAAACTTACCTGTTTAAGGGTTGACAAGCAGCAGTTTTTTTAGTAGCAGGCAAAGGATCGGAAGTGAATATTAAAAAGTGTTATTAAAAATGATAAAGCATTCTCCTGGAATCAAGAATCATCGTAATCATCTTTGGAAAAAGTGATCATTTTGCGCACCGTACCGCCACTAGGCACCACAAATTGCCTCCAAAAAACACAAGTGAAGTAAAAAAACCCCAAAATAGAATTCAAAATAACAAATCTGATTGTAAAAGGTTCAAAAAGGATTCACCTACCGGTTACGTCTAAGTATCCAACCTGGCTCTTCATTGGCAAGGTGTTTACCTACAAATGAAAAATAGGTTGAATGTGATGGTTTTGATGTTTTGAATTTTGCTCAATGGTGATATACCTGGCACATGTAACCTAAAAATGAAAATGCAGAGTTAGTAAAAATAGTAAAAATCTCGAGTATCAAACTTACCTCCACGATCACTTTCCTGCACATTTTTTATGTGCAGCGTCCAGGTCTTGTGTTCACTCTGCGTCAGTGAGATGCGACTATTCCGCGTGACCACCTGATGCGAGATGGTCAGAATGGACTTGTCCTCGATGCGGACCCAACCCACCTGCAAAACAAAAAGAAAAAAACAAAAACAAAAATTAGTAACCCCAGAAACTGAAAATATTCATCTGAAAAGTTGGCAAAATTTAAAGTAGAAAACGCTTAAACACTCTGGCGATGATTGTCACTTGACGACAGTCAGACAGCTTCACATCAGTAAAAAGGGGTACAGTAATGGAAAAATGATGTTCTCCCAACTGCTGTAATTAGTAATAATTAAAGAGAGATGTAGTCGGTCGGTTGTCAGGATGAAAAGGGAAAGAGGAAACAAAAATATGTGTCAGCCAACAATCATTAGCATATTAGAGGCACTTTATTTAAAGCGAATCAAGAAAAAGAAGAAGAAGACGAGTGTCATTGTCGCCGACGTCGTTTTTGCATGCAAACACAGCAGCACAGCAGTGTGCAAACAATTTAAAATGCATCAGCCTCATTTTCACCCCAAGTATCATGCACAGCTACTCACTTTCTCATTCACACAAAGCACTCAATTGTCCTTGGAGTTGTTGATGTTGTTACTCCTCTTCTTGTCAACATGGTATAATTCGATTAGAATCTTTTCTTCTTTTTCTTTTTCTGAAAAGTGTCATTTACAAAACAGAAGTTTGCGCACACACACAACACAACAAAAAAAGCTCAAAAACTAGTAATGAAAACTTCTAAACTAAAAAAAGAGTTTTTCTACACTGTTACAAGTAATTAAACGGTGAGAGGGGGCAACGATTGAGACAGACGTGGAGCACACCGTTTTTCCTTTCTGAGTGCAAAATGTCGACAGTGATTTCTAGGGCTGGATAATTCAATTTGCGCTACGCCACAAGCAAAAGTGTAAAGCAATTAGCCAACACACTGGGGCAAATTGCGTCAGGTTGTGTGTGTCTATTATGCAAAATGAATAGAAAGGGAAGGGAAGGGAGTGAGCGTGAATAAAAAGGTAATAATGAAGGTGAAAAGAAGAAAAGAAAGAGAAAAACCCTATTTTTTTTGCCCCAAACACAGACAGACAAACAGAAAGAGAGCACAAACAAGCGAGAGAGGAACAATCAGAATAAAGGTGCTCGAATATTTAGGCAGCACAAAAAAGCGGAGGCAGATTTGTCGTGCAGGTGTGTGACAGACACAAAAAAACGCAAAACAGGTTTT